CACAGTACAGAACTGTGGTATAGAATAAAAAAGCACAGAACTGCGGCTCCTATGCATTTTGCAAAACCTACATTTCGGCTCCCACTGAACTCTTGCTTGCCTACCCCTGATCTATATCATAATTTCTTATTCATGCTGAATTTCCATGCTGAAAGTATCTCTTCTGCATCTCTGGCATTAATGCAACTATCAACTATTGCTTTTATAAATTTCAATTTTTTCATTTCTCATTGCCAATGTGGAGGAATGTAGTGTTCAAAGGATATCCGCTTCACTCCATTTTACTATAGTCTTCTACTTGTGCCATTGTGGACAATACAGTGTTACAATGTTATTTTTCAATGCTATAGTTATGTTCTTTGAGGCAAACAACTGTTTGCCTCAAAGAACGTAATTATAGCATTGAAGTTCCTTAGCTGTTTGCCTAGTAACTATTGCTCCCAGTATTATTATTTATTCTGTTTGTTATTTATTTACTATTTAATTATTTTATTTTACAGTTTTTTTTTTGTATTTTAAATTATATGTTTAAATTGTATGTTATTGAATGTTCCATCATCGAACAGTTCCATTTTTTTTTAAACTGATGACCCATAGAATTAAGATGAAAACATTTGTGTAAAATAAATGTTATTCAACAAGCCTTGGGTGATTATATAAATTCATTAACTATTTCTCACTGCTGGGTGTGAATTTTGATTGTTATTAGACTCTTCTGTGGTAAATTAGTGAACTTTGTTTTTTTTTTCTTTCTGTTGTCCTGCTTTTAAAATTAGCTTTGCCTTGACAAGAAATGTGAATAAATTAATGTATTGGAGATTTGTTTTACAGATTTGCTTGATTTTAATATTTGTGGTTGGACAGATCAAGCATGACATCAGCAAGGGGGTGTCTACAAACTGGTGGCAAAATATGCTGGAGTAGATAATCAAAAAGGAATTAAAATTGATAACAATGACAGTTTATTATTATTAGTTTTGGAAATTTTATTAGTTTTAGTTAGTTTATTAGTTTTGGAATATTATTGATCTTTGATGTAATGTATTAATAGGAGGTGGCAATGGTCCAGTAATACTGATCATTTATTATATCTAACAATGTTACATACATATATAAACCTTCCAAAGCCCAATATTTTAGTAATAAACCAAATGATTGCTGATTAAATCATGCTACTTTACTGCTATTATTTTTAATTAAATTCTAAATAATTTGGTATTAGAGATAGGCATTAGGTGCCATCTCTCATTAAATTTAATAATTATAATTAAATTATTTATAATTTAAAAATAATAGTAGTAAAGTTGCCTGATTTAATCCAGCAATTGTTTGGCTCATTAATAATGTCATAGTCAAGTAGGAAATAAATTTTATATGAGATAGGATAAGAGATAAAAACAGCCTGTATTATGGTAAATATGAAGGAAACAAATACTATGTTTCAAGCAAGGATATACACAATAACTGTCAACATGTTGTCTAGTGGACATTCTGCTTACTAACAGTTGCAGTCTGATATTTAAAAATGCTATATTTTTACCCTAACAGAAGCCTTAGAACAAGTGACTTTGATCCATTGTTTCTGAAATCTGTCATATCAAGTTCTGTAAAAATTAAAGGTCAATAATATATTCAAGATTTTAGAGCCAGATTTTTAGTCAAACACATCTAAAATTAGAATTATTTATGAGCTATTTAAGCATCTATACTATAAGCAGCTGTTGTTGGTTCAAGCTACATTCTTAAGTAATTTTTCTTTCAAAATTTTTAAATTACTTAATTAAATTTCAAAACTTATTTCTAATTATTAATCTTAGAACAAGACTGTAGATTAATCACCTATTCTTAAGCCAAATTTCATAAATAAATTAGTTAAATTGTAGCTTATAAATAATAAAGATTTTAAATATGTTTGTTTAGAATATTTCTAATTTTAATCAGCATACAAATAGGGATTATATTGAATATAAAATAGTTTTAATATATTTGAAATAAATTATATTTAATTGTCATTTATACAAGATATAAATCTCAATAACAATTATTGGAAGAAAGTTTTAAAGTTGATAAATTGTTTTAAAGTATACATAGTTCATTAACCCCTTTTTTGTTCTTAACACTGTTTAAAATACTGCTATGATTAGGTGTTATTCTTGTTCTTGAAATGTATGGGTAACATGAAACAAAGTAACTTTTATTGTCTAGAATTTTTCATTTTCAAATCTGTATATAAAATAATCTTTGTACAATAACAATAAAGATCTATGTAAAATAATTAAAAATGCAAATATGTCAAGTTCTATGAAGTTCTTTATTTCAATGCATAAATTTATTAAAAAAATTTACATGTCAGCTACATCATTAGTCTATAAAGTATAGTTGATTTCAGCTTTATTCTTGTAAGAGTTTCTTTGAAATCTTTTAAATTCACCATTAGAAAAATATAAGTAACAATTTAAAGAACTATAAAAAAATATGACTACTTGATCTTATAAACAAGATGATAATCTACTAAAGTTTAAGACAAAAATTCTTATTCATCATAGAAAAACTATAAATTTTTATAATGTGAATTCATTCCTGATGATGAGCCAAAAGGCTTGGAACTGGAAATAAGAATTAATGTAATAATTTATTATTAAGATCTTCAATAAAGCAAGAAATAGTGAAGAATGAATATATATTATAGGATAGGCCATTAGGATCCTTGTTAGGGTAGGCTACTTTACTAACATAACTGGATAAGTTGAGTACAGTGGACTTGTAAACCAAATGGTTGCTGTAACTAATTGAGCTATTATTTTGTACAATTAATAATTACAAATTAAGTAATTTGTGCTAGAGGCTAATTATTAATTTTGATAAGATATGGCACCTAATGCCTACTTCTAGTACCAAATTACTTAATTTCTAATTATCAATTGTAGCAAAATAATGGCCCAATTAATTATGGCAATCATCTGGTTTAATATTAATACATCAGGCTTTTGATGTTTATATATAGCCTATATTGTGTAATTTATAAAACTTATATTTAATGACAGTTTTATTACATGTTTATAAATACAAAGTTGAATTGATTTTAAACTTTATTTATTATACTAAGCTACAGAAATGAAAAATTAAAATTTTTGACACTTTACGCATACATGATATAAATGTTCATTGCATACATGATTTTTACATGTATTACAAGTTTGATGTTTCATTTTTCCTTTTTTTTTTTAAGGACACACTATGCAACATTTTTTGTAGGCAGTCTTACATAAATGTCATCAATTTTCATATATACTTCCTCTAAACTAGTTGCTTACTATTATTATTGCTTTGTTTAGCCGAGCTTTCCATCTTTCAATATGTGGTCTTGCTAGTCCTGCAACTTCTTTTAAAAAAATCCTTCTTTACACTTTTTATTTTCATTCTATTGAAGAAACTTGTTGAGTCATATTTTAAAGCTTATCATTCTGCAAATTACAACCTACTCAGCTTAAGACTATTACTTGTGATGTGTATCATTGTGAGTTTGTGCAGACAACAATAAAGCTAGTTGAAACATATAAAGGATGCAACCACAAAATTTTCAAGGGGATATAGGTTTAGAATAAAAACGTTTTTATGCTGCAATTTATAAATTAAGCCAAAACCATTTTAATAAAATATGTAATCTTTGAATGAAAAATATATTAAAAAGTTTTGGAAATAACAGACAAAACTATTTTAGCTTTATAGTTTCAAAACTGAAACATTTAGATCAGTTAAAATAGATTTTTATGGCGATTTTCAACACCCTAAAACCCTCTTGATTACACCCCTGTCAGATATAATGTATTGATATAATGTGCATATTAACTTTAGAATTTAATTGACTCTTATATCTGGTAATGTCATAAAATTATTTAATATATATTTTTTTATTTATCAGAGTTAATATTTGAGAACATTTTTTTACAAAAGATGTAAAAGAAACAAAATGAGGAAATCCTGAAAGAACACTTAACACATTTATAAATAAGAAAAGTATTTTACTTGAAATCTATTGGACTCATCTCATCCAGTTAAGGATTAAATAATGGTTAATATATCATATAAATTCTTCAATAGAGACCTCTTTCAGATACATTTGAATAAATTGTATACTAACTATTAATTAATTGTATGGGAGATATAGCCAAGTAATAATATCTGATTCATAACGAAGATTATCATCAGAATCAAGATAAAACACTCCATCCTACCCCAACTTCTCTTTTTTTGTTTATTTCCTAGTGGCTGGCCTTTCTGCCAATGCATTCCCCTTTGCTTCCTTGATTTTCTTTTATTCCTCTTCTTTCCACCTCTCTTTTTATGCTTCATTTTATTTATATTTAATGGGTTGGAAATTGATGTACTTTCTTCTGATATGTCATTGAGATTCTCGTTACACGAATTTTCCAAGTTTAGCAATATTCCAGATATTTTGGACAGATGATGATCTTCATTTTCTACAACTGATATGTCCATAACTAGTTATGGACATATCAGTTGTAGGAAATAAACAAAGGAAAAGAAGTTGGGGTAGGATGGAGTGTTTTATCTTGATTTCGATGATAATCTTCGTTATGAATCAGATATTATTACTCGACTATATCTCCCATACAATTAATTTATTTGTTTCAATCCATTTTCCACATTAGCTTCACACATTCAAATTTAAAAATTGATATAAGTAACTATTAATAAATTTTAATCTTTAATGTTTGGTTTAATATGACGATTAATTGTAAAAGCTGCTTTGTTATAAATGATTCCATGTAAAATAAGACTAAAATCCAAAAACAAGTACTTGAAAGATTATAGGAGACAAAAATGTGTCTGGATGAAATATTTTTTGAGACCTTTTGTCTCGGTTTCAGATCCAACTCATAATTTTTGAAATGCTTGTTTTTGAATGAGAATTAATGCTTGTTTATTTGAATCTTTATTGTGTTAATAATTATATACAAATTCTGAATCTTTTATAGGAACGTTTAAACAAAACTGAAAGACAGAGATTCAGGGAAGAAGCAGAAATGCTGAAGGGTCTTCAGCATCCGAACATTGTTCGATTCTATGATTATTGGGAAGTCAACACACCAAAGAGAAAATATTTAGTATTAATAACTGAATTAATGACATCAGGAACATTAAAAACGTATGTCAAAGCTTTTTATTTATTTTATGAGTTTTATTTAAAAATTTTAACTTTTTAGCATCTTTTACTGTTTTTTGTTTTAATTGGTATTGTTTTCAGTGTTAAACAGGGAAAGCATTTATTGTGCTAGAGACATTGCCTTATAACATTTAAATAAATAAATAAACTTCAAAATTTCTAATCCAGTATATAAAAGAGCATTCTGTTTAGTAGATGATCTAAATTTGTTATAATTGATGCAATTTATTTGCTGATTTTCAATCTTAATTCTTATTAATTACAATTAACAGAATGCATTCAGCAAATAAACATTAGATTGTCAAACTACACTTTCTGTTACTGAGATAATTTATTGTAATGAAACTAACATTTTCAGCCTATTCAATAGGCCATTTTCAGATTAAACCAGAAGATTAGAACAACAGTGTTCCAAAATAGAATACATAAATTTAAATACAAAAAATAATGGATAATAAGAAAATAACAGAAAAATTATAAATGTATAAATATAAAAATATAAAGGAAAAACAAAATCATATATAATAATAAANATAACACTGTTGATTATTCCGTTTTATATGAATTCCGTGTTGTACGAGTCACTTAGATTTTACAAATACGTGTGCCGGGCTGTGAACGGCTCAAAAAAGTGTTGTATTTTAGTAATTAAGATTTTTTAGAATATTAAATTTCAAAACAGTATATTACATTATTTATATTTGACCAAATTTTGGCTATTATCTCAAATTTCTACATATTTTTTAAAAAAAACAAACAGATGTCTCAAATCAGTTAAGACTGCAATAGCAATAACTATAATGTTGCTCTACTTATTGTTTGGTAATTATTACAACAAACAACTAAAAATAAATAACGAATTATTTAATTAATTATAAATACTTTGTAAATTATTTTTGTAAATTATAATTAGGTATACAAATATATTATTTTAAATCTAAATTAGTAAACATTAAATTTTAATAAACTTTAACAAAGACAACCAGTCGAAAACCATTGATGAAAAATAATAGACTGGTTGTAATGATATCAATAATTTATAACTAAGTGTAATATCTTCTAAAAATGTATATTGTACCATTAAAATAAATAATCTATGAATTTATATAAAAATAGTTTTAAAAATAAGACAAAGTATAATGATCATTTTTGCGCAATAGTATCAATAATATCCAATCATATTATACAGTGTCTATAGTTTTGCAACATCTATAATCTCAACACAAGAATTTTTATCATAGATTAATATTTTCGTATTGCACGAATGATCATGAAATATTTTATAGACCGATAAAAATTATTTTTGTTGACATAGAAATATATGTGATAACACTGATAATTGCATAAGTTTTGAATTCGAAAATACTATTATTTTAAAATGTAATGGTTTAGTATCAATTAAGTATCAAAAATTTTATTGTTAATCTTTCTCTATCGAAGAGTTCCTTCCTTCATCTTTTGTACTACGTGTATATTAACAATTTGTAGTATATCTTCTTTTCATTTCTCCCGAAATTTAAGTGTCAATAAATGAATGTTTTGCACATTATGTTTATTAAATAGATATTTGGATAAATTTTGCGAACGGTAAACATTAATGAGGAAAAAGTCAGGCATTACTTAGATCAATCAATCACGTAATTAGTGTAAGCCTTTTACTTGAGTCATGTAGATTTTTACGTACTTTTTTATAATATAATTTTTACTTTGTCATCATCGTTACTTTGATTATTATAAACACAAGAATAATACAATATATCAGCAATAACAATGTAAGAGGTTTCTGTCTATATTCGGACATACTATTCTGCAGATGCAAAATGCAGATGCTTTTCTACAGATAAAGAAGAAAATTTCATCAAAAAACAACTTTCTCAAAAAGAATTTTACATTGTAAATCTGTACTACAGATTTCTATAATTTTTTTCTTATTTTATTGAATAAGCGCCAGCTTTTATTTGATATTTTTTAACAGTAATTTTTTTTTGTATATAAGTCTATTTCTTGTGGTTACTTTAATAAAATTTAGAAAAATATTTTGAAAAATTTTCCTTACAGAAACACTAAAAATAAATGTAATTTATTTAAAATACCATATAATATATATGATAATTAGCATTCTAGATCATATTTTGGATGACAGTATGCATCAATATAAGCATCACATTTCTTTTTGTTAATTTCTTCAGCCTAAAATTATTGATATTTATCTTTAAAAATTACAAGAGATTAATTCTCAATGCATTAAATATTTTATTTTGCCAATATGCCAATGCAATACATTGTATTAATATTAGATAGCTTTTAAATTTTTGAAAATAATATATAATATACCTGTACTGTACTGTACATCGTAATAAATCCGGTCGCTCTATCCTGATACATTGACATAATTACTACAGTTATTTTTAGTATTATTTTGATAATTCTCAGTAATAATACACTTGCTTTATATAACAACTACTACCATTGCATGCAAACTTCATTTCTTAGAAATTATGATATTTTCCTTTTTAATTAATATTTCAAATTTTTTCCAGAATAATTATTTCTGTATATTTGAAAATATTTGGTTTCAAACCGTCAGATTACTATAGAATTCCTAGTATTACACAGTAAATAATAGAAAGATGTCTATACTATATATTTTATCCCGAAATCAATCAATAATTTCAGTGGAAACGTTTGATAAAATATTAAATTGGGTAAAGTTTTTGAGATTTAAATTTTTTGTATTGTTACTTAACATTTGAATAAAAATTTGTAAACTATATAATTTAAATTTAAGATAAAAAACTAATTTATTATTCTTCGAAACGTTAAAAAGTACGTAACAATTGAACTATTTTCAATTTTAAAGTAAACTACATCTTAATAATTTATAAGTAAACTATTTGAAAAGGTTAAATTTAATTATTTTGAAATTTTAGTAAATTATCTTAAATTTAATTTATAAGACATTTTGCATAGATTTATAGAAATCTATATTAAAATTGATAAATTAAATTAAATTTATTTTTTAAATACGTTCTAAATGATTTTCTCTTCTTTTCTTTTCTGTATGAATTCTAAATAAATTAACAACATTTAGAATTGTTTAAAATGCATAAATAAATAAATAATGTTTAAAATTATTTATGTTTCTTTTAACAAAAATAAAATACTTTTTATTTGTAATTAAATTATCTGAATTTCTAAGAATTTCTAATTATTAATAAATAAATAATCATATACAAATTTTATTATAAATATTTTGAAAATGTGTAAATGAGTTATAAAAATTAAATTTTCTGTTATAAATAATTTATCTTAAAAATGTTTTATTTGAAAAATAATATAAACTGAAGTTATATTTTTTTTAAACTAAATTATATATATGCTGTACATCTGCATAATACAGAATATCTAATTATTCTTATATAATTTCACAAGTATTTAGTAATAATTAATGAATTTATGTGAAAACAAAACGCTCTATCTCACATCCTAGTAATTGGACATTGATATTTTTCTAAGAGTTTAATTATTATGGATTATAATGACATTATCTAATATGTAATCGAGACGGGTATAATGATAATAATAATAATAACTCTCCCGTGGTCACCACCTGGTCGTGGTGGGAGAGCCCAATAATTTTACTGAATCATAGGGCAATGCAGGCTGGAGCACACGCTCCTGGTAGGGACACCCATGCCAGTAAGGTCTATGGGGAGAAATGAAGCTAAGAGTGACCACACCACATTCTGTATAGATAACTATCATGATAGTAACCAGATCAAAGTGTGATACCGGCTCGGACGTCGACCGGGTTAACAAGGTCCGCGTTCGTGGGTTAGGCAGAGGCTCACGTTCGAAAAATAGGCTGCAGTCTCCCTTGGTTACCGGTGGCGAAAGCAGCGCCGGCCCAAGCATGGCTACTGCAATGCCCTCAACAGATGTGAGGAATCAACCTAGCCTTGGTGTTTCTGTGGCAATGCATCCACAGACCACAAAGGCTGGAAAACCACGCCAACGGATGAAATGGACAACAGAAATGAACGAGTTTATCATCCGCACTTACTACACCATCACAAGACTCGAAACAAACATGACAGCATACAGACAACAACTACACCACATATTCACACAACAATATCCTCACCTCACTGTCACCGAACAAAGGGTTGTTGATCAAAAACGAACAATTATACACAACAACCTTATCCCACAAACAACACTTGAACTTATCAAACAACAGGTTGCTGATCAAATACATCAACAGACAGAAACATTTAACATTAATGAAGATCACGTAACCTGTCAGGATAATCCAGCAACAAGCACTGATTACAGCACACACACAACAAGTACCACTAATGATACTGCAGGCACTTCCCCATCCATCACTGATAACGTAGACATAGAATTAGTTAATACGCTCTCACTTATATTTCAGGAAACACTCATTAAATATACTGGTACAGATCCCACACAAAGACCACGAATACCAAAAATCAACACGTCAAAGGCAGTAGGAAAAACACTAGATTATGTAAACACTCACTTACTACCAAACTACATTCATTCAATTTCTACACTCTCAGACATTCATACATTAGTTTATGCTGGGGCAGTCACAGTAGTAACACACCATGGACTGAAAATACACTCACAGACAGACACACACAAAACACAATTCTATCACAAGCCTGCCTGGCAGAGAAGAATGGAAACACAAATAAATGACATTAAACAGCTATCAGGCACACTGACACAATACGCTAAAAACAACATAACACCCAAATTAAAGAAACAACTCAAAAACACTTTCAAGAAAATCAAAACACACACAAAACATGAACATCACAACACACACATTACAGAATACATCGATACACTAAAGCAGAAACTCGCAGCCAATGCACGTAGACTCAAACGATACCAAACATGTACACTACGAAAACAACAAAATAAATTATTCACAAACAATGAAAAACTTTTCTACAGACAAATCAGTACCAAAACAAACACTGATACACAGCACAGTGGCACACCAACAGAAGAAGAACTCAC